GCACCACCAGTTCTTTTCTTTAAAGGGCTATCCATACTCTTTCACAGTGCAGCAGCCTATGAAGCAAACTAACCATTACTGACTAACTCAAATTTACTGAAAGAGCCACAGACAACATCCCATGATGGCCTGTCTCTACAGAGCCCACTAGTACCATTAAATAAGCACTGAAACAAGGCAGCTCTAACTTAAGATTTGGACAGAATTATTCCAGAGCCAGAAAAACATCAGTTCTACCAACTTCACAAGAGCCAGCAATGATTTTTTCATACTTTAGAGCGTGTGTGAATTCAGTGTAACTGGGAGGATTGTAGCACTAAAGTCTGTTATTAAAAAAAAAAAAAGATGACGGGGTGTGTGTGGAGTAGTAAACAACTTCAGATCAAACATACAAGATAGTCTGCAGGAAGATAGAGCCTGGCAAGAGAGGAATTTATCAAAGGTATCTGATACTTGCTTCCAAGCAGACTTATTAATCTATGGAACAAATTGGGAGGTGAGGAAACATATCTATCATCCAGCATTCTTGGTCCTCAGTGGCTGAGGAGGAGGAAATAAATTAGATTTCCACCTGAAATATGACTAGAATTTATTTTAGAGCCGAGCATGGTCATCACTAACATTCAGAGGTTTCCAAATAAAGACTGTTATTGCCATTTCTGACTTTTGACAAAAAAAATGTCATTTAGCCAATCTTTTATTTATGTCATATTATATCATAGGGATATTTCACCCAAAAATTCTGTCATCATTTACTCACCCTCGAGTTGTTCATGAGTTTCTTTCTCCTGTTGAGCACAAAACAAGATATTTTGAAAAATGTGGGCAGCCAAACAATTTCTGGTCCCCGTTGACTTCAATAGAGCTTTTTCCATACAGGCAATGGGGACCATCAACTGTTTGGTTACCCACATTTTTCAAAATATATGACTTTATATTCAACAGAAATAAAAAAATGCATACAAGCTTGGAACAACTTGAGGATGAGTAAATGATGACAATTTTTATTTCATTATTCCTTTGACTAAATAAACAAATAAAACGCCAAATTATGTCAATCATACACCATTTTTGTCATATTCATTTATTTTAGTCCATTTAAATAATACAATTTTGTGGTTTAACACAATTTTTGTGTATTTATTTTTTTAATATTGTATTATATGACTATACTAGTAAATAGGGGTTATATTATATGTATGATTAAAATAATTTGATTTAAAATAAAATGTTACTTTCAGTAAATTTTGTTGCATCTTCCAGTATTAGATTTGTTCGTATTCTTTTTATTTGATCTTTTACAAAGCCTTCACCTAACCGTTCACATCAATTCCTCAGGCTTACTTCAAGCTCTAATTTCCAAATGTCTTGGATCAAATGATGGTTAACTCAAACGGATGTCTTGTCAGGTCAATAGACTTCATTTTACAACAAAGACTTACCAGCAAACTCCACCGAAACAACGGAGGGAAAAAAGCTTCAAAGTCAATCCGACAAAAGTGGTCTCTGTCTGGTAATCTATTCTGACAGACTCTTTGAAAGGGTGAAGTAAAACGCTACACACCTTATTTACGGCGCTACTCTGGGCTTCTGAGCTGCTCTAGTAGAAAAGACTGAATGTTTAAAGATTGATTTTTTTCTCACTTGCATCTCCTCATCTAACTCTGAAGGTCCAATCAAACATCATTTTCTCCCAAATTACTCCAGTCCAGATCAATACAGATCAGTGGGATGACCTATACAGACTCTCCTCAAGGGGTAAATATACATCAAGTGCTAATTTCATTCCCATTCAAGGCAACTCCTTGCCTCTTGAAATAAGGCCCATGTTAGAGACAGAAAAGGAGAGCGAACCTGAGAACTGCTCAAGCTGTTTTTCATATATTCTCTACTGTAGAGGCTCTCCAATAAAAATATGCAGTGGTACACCACATGACATGAAATTTAAATCCTCAAAAAATATAGTATTTTAGATTCACTGTAAAAAAAAAAATGGGAAAAAACTTCAGTTTCTTAAGTTCAGTTGCTTAAGTTTACATTAAGCTTATATTTTTAAGTATAATCAATTTGGTTGCACACGTCATTTAAACTTAAACTGTCTTTAAAAATCAAGTTGAATTTTATTTAACTTATAAAAAAGTTGATTACTCAAATTATTTAGATGTGTTAAATTAGTGTAAAAGCATAAGATGCCATGGCTTGCTGATCATATAATTTTTCAGTGTTTGTAAAACCTATAAAAATATTAAAAATATATTTCTAAATTTTGTGTATATATACCTTTAAAAATATATTTAAATGTGTATTTTTCAATGCTTCATTTTAATTATCCAAATAAATCTGCTTACTATTTAAAATAAGCCACATTTTTGCAAAAAAATATGAAAATAAAAAAAGAATGAAAGAAAAGTGCCCCCTTCTGGGACAACCACCTGTCACTTTTCCCAATCCAAAGAATTCCTGATTTATAAAATCATGTCCCATGCACCAATATCTATCATCCTGTTTAATTACATCTGCTGCAAATAAATCCGATTACAGTAGTGAAATGGATTGTGAACACTGTTGATTTCAAGGTGATGGTGTCTAAACAGTCTCATTTGATCAAACGTGGTACTTGATCTGAAAAGTTGAAGCACCATTGCCAATGTGAAAACTGATTTCATGAGACTGTTTCCATGAATATCATGTTACCATACCACAACCACAAAGAGAACCCCTGTACTGGGAGTGCAGTAAACATGTTCCTGTTGTCCCTGTCATACTTCTGAAAGGTGCTCGGTTGTAGCCACACACATAAGAGAAGAGAGATCTAATGGGATTAAATAAACAATAGTTTAATGAGAACTAGGTCATGTCCCACAGGAAAGAAAACACTCTATTCGCATTTGCACAGATAAATGTTGCCCTAAAACAAAACTGAGCTGGAACAGTACATGGGCATATGGGTATAACAGTAAATTTATTTACCAAATCTTTCTAAAAGTTTTGATCTCCCTGTGGCTAGGATTTTTTGCTGATATCAAATAGCCAATAAATATTTGGATTGAGGAGAGGTCCACTGATATTAAAAAATAAATAAAATTAAGATTTTAATCAAATTAAATAGATGATATACTGATTAAGTAATCAAATTTAAATGTAATTATTTGCACATATTAATATTTGCTGAAAAATGGCCAGAAGATATTAAGATGGCCATTGGCCACTGTCATAAATAAATAAATAAATAGTTAGTTAGTTAGTTAGTAGTAATATTGTGAAATACTGTTTTCTATTTGAGTATATTTTAAAACGTAATTTATTCCTGGGATGCAAAGCTGAATTTTCAGCATCATTACTCTAGTCTTCATTGTCACATGATCCTTCAGATATCACGATTTGATGCTCAAAAAAAACAATTCTTATTATTATCAATCTATCCTGTTTAATATTTTTGTGGACAAATAGAAAGTTATTTTTTGTAACAATGTAAAAGTATTTCCTGCCATGTTTAATCAATTTAATGCATTCTTGCAGAATAAAAGTATCAATTTCTTTCACATTTATGCAAACTTATTACATATCATTTACAAATTAATCAAAATACTGTATCAAACATCACGTTTGTTGTCCTCTGACCTGTGAATTTGCATAGCAAAAAGTCATTTTAATACACATTGTCCAATGCAATGCACCTTTAAATAACTACAAACCACAATATGTCATTTTTTTCTGCTCTGTATTGCATTAATTTTCCTTGTCCTTAAGCAGATGCCAGACCACCTAGTGCAAGTGCTCACTAAAGCATACCATCGAAATCTAATATCCTGCCATGGAGACAACCCTCTGGTGTAATATACAACGCTTCAAGATGCAATTAAGGATCTATTTGGCTGGGTTCAGCTTCTAGAAATCAGCCCTGCTCATAATTTCTTGAGTGTTTCACATGATACTCTTCACCCCTCCAAGAAGGCGCACGAAACTAGCACAGACTCCCTGTGGGGTCTCGGTAACCCCAGCTTGCCCTGCTTTGCTATATGTATCAGAGAGCCCATGCTTCATTTAACTAACTCGCAGAGGGATTAGGGGGAGCACAAAAGTGAATTCTTTCTCAAAGAAAGGGAAGTTCTTTCATCTAGGAGTCGTCTTGCTGTGCTGGGGTTGGGATTGGTCTCACAGAGTGGTTTTACTCAAGGGTTTAGTCACCGTGAGGTAAAGCGACCACCACTTTGATTACAACGTTGAAAAATCTAAAACGATATGCTTTCTCAACCTGGAACATCAAATCAGTTTTCTTCAACGGGACATTCTGCTAAACAGATTAAAATGATTTGATTCTCTTTGAAACGGATAGTTCAGATTCTGAAAATCTATGTTTGGGGTCAGTATGATTTTTAATGCCTATGAAAGTGAACAGAGACTACATGTATTTGATCAAAAATACATTAAAAACAAATATTGTAAAAACTTGTTTTCATTTTGAATATATTTTAAATATATAATTTATTCCTGTGATACAAAGCTGAAATTTCAGCATCATTACTCCAGTCTTCAGTGTCACATGATCCTTCAGAAATCTTTCTAATATACTGATTTGGTGCTCAAGAAATATGTCTTATTATTAAGAGAGTCAAAATAAAACAGCATTTATTTGAAAATAAATCTTTTGTAACATTATAAATGTCTTAAGTCTCACTTTTGATCAATTTAATGCATCCTTTCTGAAGACAAGTATTAATTAAAAAAAAA